CAATGCAAAAAGTATTGTAAAATACTGTACCTGTTGAGTCCTACATAAACAAAAAGAGTTCCCCTGAAAACCAGGCAACTCTTTTAATTACTGCAATCTGGGGAGATGACAAAAGGAAGTCAGCTTGACATTTCTGGAATCAGTGTTCTCAGTATGGCCACAGCTTATTTGGTCATACTTCTCAAGGGGCTCACAGGAATTAACTAACTTTTGCTCTCCTGTGACCTAGAATCAACCAGCAGCAGATTAAAGCTCACGGTTGGCTGACATCACAGAGCTACTCCAGACTTAGAAATCTGGATGTATCCCAACAATGTTAGGATCTACCCTGACGGACAGCCTGAGACAGCGGCACCAACCCCCTCTCCCCTCCCAGCACTCCAGTGAGCACTGCAGAGTAGAGAGCAATGACTGACAGTCACCGCTCTTTGTTTAGAACAGGCCTGAGAACTGAGTGATCAGCGGTCACATAACTTTTCCTTTAATAATATAACTCATTTACTTTCCATATTAATGATACCAGCTAGTAGCAAAGAAAAGACACTTCTTGTTTGTAAGGAAACACAGGATGCCAGGTTTTATGTTGTATTTTTCAGCAGTGTTATGCACAAAAGTTGGGGGAGCCACACAAACTTTTTTTGCATCTCAGGGACCGTTAGAACCACGTGGACCCCTAAAACAGTAAACTACGTCACCCAGAAAGGGTTGCTATTTCCCTATAACTGCAGTAAGATGTAGCACTGGGGGACAATTTAGGTATAGACACTGCTTTCTAGAGTTAGGCTTCATATGAAGGGATGACCTTTAGTTTAAAAACGGGACTACTTATGCTCTTTTATAAGCCTCTCAATCATCCCAATTAGATGAAGTGTTGGCTTCAGTGCACAGGGCCTAGAAATTTTATACATGCACATTCCTTTTGTATTTTCTCATGAAATAGTAGAGAATAAACCTATCTGTCCTGCACACAACCACATTCCTTCTGCCATCGCTGTGATTGAAAATATGAGGAAAGAGCACTGGCTGTTACAGGCAGTTTTCTTTCTTTTGGTTTTTATTATTACATTACATTGAGTTTATATAGCGCCAAAGGGTTTGCTCAGCGCTGTACAATAGAATTATAAACTCTTGTCCAGCAGTACCTCTAATTCCCATATTAAAGTATAATGAAAGGCAAAATTTTCTTTTTTTTTTTTGGATAGAGTGGAGAGGGATTAGAATGATTGTCTGTTTCTATTGCTGTCTGTGCCCCCGTTAACCACTTTCCGTTCGGCCCATGTACATTAACGGCTGGACGGGAGCAGTGCCAAAGCGGGTGGCAGTTTATAAACAGCTCCCACATTTACTGCCTGTGCGCGCTCTCCCTGGGAATGCACGGCACCACGATCCAGTGCCCGGAAGACACAGTGGAACACCGATCGCTCTGTGTGAGATCCCAGTCATGTGATCACTGATTGGCCAATCAGTGATCACATGAATAGTAGTAAGCAAGATGCCACTTGCTGACATCATTGCTTACTACCAGTGAAATCTGTGAATGATCACAGAGGTCACATGGTACAAAGCTATTCACAACAGCCTTGTACCATGTGACAAGCTGTAACAAAGGAGAAATGATTGCTTATACAGCCTTTATGGGTGTAAAAAAAAAAAAAAAAATCACCCCACAAGTAGTACAGTGTCCCTGTGGTGACACTGTACTGCTAGGGTTACAGTATGTTAAACAAATATTAAAATTTTTTGACAAATTATAACATTTTTGGTTATAAACCAATTTGGGTTATTTTTTTTATTTATTTTTTTTACTAAAAAGATAGCCGAATACATTTTAACCAAAATTTATGAAGAAAGATTTGCAAAATTTTTTATAATTTTTTTTTTTTTCAAAATGTTTGGACTTTCATTTATATACAGTGAGGAACAGAAGTATTTGAACACCCTGTGATTTTGCAAATTCTCCCACTTAGAAATCATGGAGGGGTCTGAAATTCACATTGTAGGTGCATTCCCACTTGGAGAGACAGAATTTTAAAAAAAAAATTCAGGAAATCACATTGTATGATTTTTAAAGAATTTATTTGTCTTGCACTGCTGAACATAAGTATTTGAACACCTAGGAAACAGCAAGATTTCTGGCTCTCAAAGACCTGTTACTGAGAAAAAGTCCACCTCTACTCCACTCATTAATCTAACTTAGTAGCACCTGTCTGAGCAATATTTGTCTTGCAATGCTGAACATAAGTATTTGAACACCTGAGAAAATCAGTGTTAATATTTGGTACAGAAGCCTTTGTTTGCAATTACAGAGGTCAAACGTTTCCTGTAGTTCTTGACCAGGTTTGCACACACTGCAACAGGGATTTTGGCCCACTCCTCCACACAGATCTCCTCTAGATCTGTCAGGTTTCGGGGCTGCCACTGAGCAACACGGAATTTCAGCTCCCTCCAAAGATGTTCTATTGCATTTAGGTCTGGAGACTGGCTAGGCCACTCCAGAACTTTGATATGCTTCTTACGGAGCCACTCCTTGGTTATCCTGGCTGTGTGCTTCGGGTCGTTATGTTGGAAGACCCAGCCACAACCCATCTTCAATGCTCTGACTGAGGGAAGGAGGTTGTTGCTCAAAATCTCACAATAAATGACCCCATTCATCCTCTCCTTAATACAGTGCAGTCGTCCTGTCCCCTTTGCAGAAAAGCACCCCCAAAGCATGATGTTACCATCCCCATGCTTCACAGTAGGGATGGTGTTGTTGGGATGCAACTCATCCTTCTTTTTCCTCTAAACACGACGAGTGAAGTTTAAACTAAAAAAGTTCTACTTTGGTCTTATCTGACCACATGACTTTCTCCCATGCCTCCTCTGGATCATCCAGATGGTCATTGGCAAACATCAGATGGGCCTGGGACATGTGATGACTTGAGCAGGGGAACCTTTCGTGCAATGCATGACTTGAAACCATGACAGCGTAGTGTTCTACCGACAGTGACCTTTGAAACTGTGGTCCCAGCTCTCTTCATGTCATTGACCAGCTCCTCCCTTGTAGTTATGGGCTGATTCCTCACCTTTCTTATCATCAGTGATACTCCACGAGGTGAGATCTTGCATGGAGCCCCAGTCCGAGGGAGACTGAAAGTCATCTTTAGCCTCTTCCATTTTCTAACAATTGATCCAACAGTTGATCTATTTTCACCAAGCTGCTTGGCAATTGCCCCGTAGCCCTTTCCAGCCTTATGGAGGTCCACAATTTTGTCTCTGGTGTCTTTTGACAGCTCTTTAGTCTTGCTCATGGTAGTAGTTGGCGTCTGACTGTGGGGTGGACAGGTGTCTTTAAAGAGCTCAGACAGGTGCTACTAAGTTAGATTAATGAGTGGAGTAGAGGTGGACTTTTTAAAGGCACAGTAACAGGTCTTTGAGAGCCAGAAATCTTGCTGTTTCCTAGGTGTTCAAATACTTATGTTCAGCATTGCAAGACAAATATTGCTCAGACAGGTGCTACTAAGTTAGATTAATGAGTGGAGTAGAGGTGGACTTTTTAAAGGCACAGTAACAGGTCTTTGAGAGCCAGAAATCTTGCTGTTTCCTAGGTGTTCAAATACTTATGTTCAGCAGTGCAAGACAAATAAATTCTTTAAAAATCATACAATGTGATTTCCTGAATTTTTTTTTTTAAATTCTGTCTCTCCAAGTGGGAATGCACCTACAATGTGAATTTCAGACCCCTCCATGATTTCTAAGTGGGAGACCTTGCAAAATCGCAGGATGTTCAAATACTTCTGTTCCTCACTGTAGCAAAAAAATTAAAACCCCAGTGGTGAATAAATAAAACCAAAATAAAGTTTTATCGGTTTAAAAAAAATTCATATGGGTACAGTGTTGCACGACTGTGCAATTGTCATTCAAAGTATGATAGCACTGAAAGCTGAAATATGGCCTGGACAGGAAGGGGGTAAAAGTGTCCGGGCTTAAAGTGGTTAAAAGGAGATTGACCCTCTCTACTGTTGTCATTGAAAGAAAATCCAAAAGGTTGGGTTGTCCCCAGAAAAGTAATAGTGGGGAAATCTTCCAGTGGTAACACCTGTTCTGGTGACCTGGGAGTCCCTAAGGAATTCCCTTAAATTTGCAGATATTTCCTCTCACGTTCGGTTTGGTTATGGGACAGGAAGTGAAGGGAAATCTCCACAATGGGACACAGATGGCAGAAAAAAAAAAAAAACAAAAAAAACACTGACATGGGTTATAACCCTCCCTTGCTCTATCCAAAATGAAGGAAAAAAAACATTTTTTTTTTTTTGCTTAAAGTTCTGCTTTAAGATTCCCAAGAAAGCACTGTCACAGTTCAGCTTGCTGGTTACGGGCATTAGCTACAGCCCTACAACCCAGAAAGAACTCAATTTAGGTGAAGAAGCACAGAATGTATTGTAATTGTACGAAAAAGGACACATTGTCTACAGTGTGCTGTAAGATATGGTAGAGACCAGTTTAGTAGCAAGTTATTTTTAGTGCTTAACCTTATAAAATGTGAAGAAACAGATAAGTAAATTATTTTATTTATTGAAACCCACTTGTTCAAAATGTCTTTCACAGCCTAATATCATTTTGGTCACGTGAAACATAGTACTTACTGGCATCTGTTGCATAGTAAAAAGAAAATGGTATTATATTTAAACAAAATAAAGATTATTTAACATTTTGTGCAGTCTTTTATCTTCGTATTCATTAGCATTCGTCCTTGAAATAATGAAAAATCTAAAAAAAACAAAAAAAAAAAAAAAAAAAAAACACAAAAAGAAAAAAAAGTGCCAGTCCGTGGCTATTAGCAGAAGTTTAAGTGCAACAATGGTTTAAAAGGTGAAAAAGTATTTTATGGCAGTAAGTCTTCCCTTCCCAAAAAGGATAAAGTAAAACTTCAGTGCTGTTTCCACCCTGTGTCTTCATGCTCTGGCATGGCCATAAAATATGCTTCTCAATGCAGTTCATGCTGTCCTGTTCCCCCCGATTCATTTCCCCACATCGTGAAAATATAGGTTGGCACATATACATAACATGACAACTGAGAATAAAATGTAATATATGAGATTCCTAAACTTGGGCTCCAAGTCTCCTTGCCGGTACCAAAAAATCTGCAAAACAAAAGTATTTAAGAAAAAGTCAAGCTGCATATAACAGTAGAATAAATTAGTAACAATGCATGGCCTCTCAGGCCAGAGTTTCTTGCCAATGGGACCCAATCAGGTTTTCTCCTTCCAGATTTACCCAGTGTAGTATCAATGAATTAAAAGGATTTGCCAATTTTTACTCCAGACACTTTCTTTTCATTGGTTCTTGTCCATCTAGAACTCTTTGCAGTCCATTTACTAAAGGTAAACATTTGGGTCACTTTGCAAGCAAATTTTCCCCAGAGCTTAATGAATGTGGTGAAATTTCAGTTTACAAAGAATACCCAATTACATGCAAGGAAAATGAAAAATAAAAATGCATTTTTACTTGCACATGATTGCACAAGCTTCACCTGCGCTCAGGGGATAATGCTCTTGCACAATGCAACCTTTTTGCCTTTAGTAAACTATACCCCCCATGAAGCAAACAGGTATGTGTCATGGGCCAGCTGTTCAAGTTAATGCTTGATCAAATACAAATTTTACAAAAAAGTTTTCTTGGGCACTTGAAAATGGGTCGTGGATGGGTGTTCCAGCATGAAAGTGACCCAAGACATACAGTCAAGGCAACAAAGGAGTGGCTCAAGAAGAAGCACATTAAGGTCCTGGAGTGGCCTAGCCAGTCTCCAGACCTTAATCCGATTGAGAATCTGTGGAGGGAGCTGAAAGTTTGAGTTGCCAAACGTCAGAAACCAAACCTTTAAGACTTGGAGAGGATCTGCCAAGAGGAGTGGGACAAAATCCCTCCTGAGATGTGTGCAAACCTGGGGGCCAACTACAGGAAACCGTCTGACCTCTGATTGCCAACAAGGGATTTGCCACCAAGTACTAAGTCATGTTTTGTGAAGGGGATCGAATACTTATTTCCCTCATGAACATGCAAATCAGTGCATCATTTGTTAGAGACAGAACAGCAACAAAAAAAATCAAAAGAAATGCGTGTCTCAGTGTTACAATACACCTACCATTCAATGTTTAGACTGATCATTTCTTTGTGAGTGGGCAAACATTCAAAATCAGCAGGGGATCAAATACTTATTTCCTTCACTGTATGTCCACCTTCAGAGAGATCTTTTAGCAGATGCAGTTAAAGGATAATTAATAATAGTATGAAGCATTAAATCTGGTAGGCGGAGGTCCACTATTGGCTATGATGTGCCAAACCTAGCCTTGTAGTATGCTGTTCTGCAACTGTCATACTTAGAAAATATTTGGCCTATGATAAAAGGTTTCCAGAAATGCTGCTCAGTCAGTAATTGTAATGATTTCTTTAGAACAGAGCTTCCTGGCATTGTATTGATATACCTAAAAGCTAATGAAAAAATAGCTCTAAGTTTGTTTACAAAGTATTCAGCTGGAATGGAAGGCAAAAAAAAAAAAAAAAAAATGCCGCAACTGCCCAGCACAATTATTTGCCCAATGAAAAAAGGCAACAATCCCAATATAAGAAATCTTATCAAGTGCCTGTGGTGCTCTTCCCTCTGCTTTCCATGGGAAAACATGAATGTTCACCTTGAATACCTGTACAACAGTTCGGTCGCTCAGCAGCCTGACGCCTCTATCTGGTTTCTGTTCACAAGTATAGTTGCTATCTCCTCCCTTACTGACTGCTTTTAGTAGGTTTCCAAAGATGGTAATGCAGTGGCTTAAAAAGTGATTTGCAAGATCACAACATAAATGTTCATTTTACATAGATACAAGTATAGCAAACGCTGCTAGTTACAGTTTACTACCACGTGGCAGGATTTTCTACCGCACACCCAGATTACAACCCCTGGAAAAAAGTATGGAATCTCCACTCTTGGAAAAAACGGCCATTCAATTGTTTAATTGTGTAAAGGAAAAAAAAAAAAAAAAAAAAACAACTAATCACAGACATGCCTACAAACTATTTTCATTTAACATTCCAACCTTCTGGCTTTAAGAAACACGGAAAAAAAAGAAAAAAAGAAACCTGTAGTCAGTTGCAACTGTTTTCGCAGATCAAGCAGAGGAAAGAAATATAGAATCACTCAATTTTTATGAAAATATTATGGAGTTATGAAAAAACCCACTACAGTACACCACTAGTTCTTGGTTGCAGGACCTCTGGCTTTTATAACGGCTTGAATTCTGAGGTATGGATTGAACTATCGACAAACTGTACTCTTCATCAATCCGGCATAGATTTTCAATTGTCATGGACCATTGCCATAGATTTTCAATTGGATTGAGGTCCAGACTATTTGCAGGCTATGCCAATTAGCATTATATGTCTTTCTTAAAGGAAAGTTTTCATGGCTTTGGCCCTATGGCAAGATGCATTATTATCCTGAAAAATGATGTCATCATCACCAAACATCCCTTCAACTGAATACGAAAAGTGTCCAAAATCTCAATATAAACTTGTGCATTTATTGAAGATTTAATGACTGCCATCTCCCTCGTACCTTTACCTGACATGCAACCCCATATCATCAATGATTGTGGAAATTTGCATGTTTTTTTCAGGCAGCATATTTTATACATTTCATTGGAACGACACCAAACAAAAGTTCCAGCATCATCACCCCACCCATGGCAGATTTGTGATTCATCACTGAATGTCACTTTCATCCAGTCATCCACAGTCCATGATTGCTTTTCTTTAGCCCACTGTAACCTTGTTTTTTTCTGTTTAGGTGTTAATGATGGTTTTTTTCTTTTGGCTTTTCTGTATGTAAATTCCATTTCCTTTAGGTGATGTCTTACAGTTCAGTCACAGATATTGAATCCAGTTTCTGCGCATTTGTTCCTCATTTGCTTTGTTGTTCATTTTCTGTTTTCAAGGCATATTGGTTTAAGTTTTCTATCTTGACGCTTTGATGTCTTCCTTGGTCTACTAGTACGTTCCCTTTACAACCTTCCCATTTGATTTGTACTTGGTCCAGATTTTAGACACAGCTGACTGGGAACAACCAACATCTTTTGCAACATTCCATGATTTACCTTCTTGAAGAAGTTTTATAAACCTCTCCTTTGTTTCAACTGACATCTCTCCGGTTTGAGCCATGATTCATGACAATCAGTTTGGTGCAACAGCTCACCAAGGTGTGCAAGCACTCTAACTGCAGACTAATTAGCAGATGTAATCTGATGCAGATGTTTGTTTTAGAACTGCAAAGTATATGGTGATTCCATAATATTTTCCTCAGAATTGAGCGATTCCATAATTTTTTCTCCTCTGTTTGATCCGCCGCAAACAGTTGCAACTGACTTTTTTTTTTAAAAAAAAGAAAGAAGACTGTAATTAAGTGTTTCTTAAAGCCAGAAGGTTTATTAAAGCCAGAAGAATGTTAAATGAAAATAGTTTGGAGGCATGGTCTGATTTTTTTTCTACACAATTAAATGAACATTTTCCAAGAGTGGCAATTCCATACTTTTTGCCAGGAGTTGTACTGCCACAAAAAAACAAAAAACTTAGAAGTTGTAATCTAGTCCCCAGTTTCTTTATGCTGCCTTTCTGATACATTGGCAACACTATCAGATCATCACAGCCTCAAACCCCTTTCTGTATACCAAGGTGACAGCTTAAAAGTAACACTAAAGCTTCATTGTTTTGTTTTGTTTTTTTAAATAACAAAACAGGTCTATACTTACCTGCTCTGTGCAGTGGTTTTGCACAGAGCAGCTCAGATTCTTTTTTGGGTCCCTGCTGCCGCTCCTGGCTCCTCCTCCTTGGGCATTACTCCCCCCCAGGGAAAGCTGTGTGCTTGTCCCCGAGCCACTGCTCTATGTGTCCATAAGACACAGAGCCGCAGCTTGCCCCAGCCCTCTCCTCATTGGCTCACTGGCTGTGATTGACAGCAGGTTGAAAATAGGGAGGAAGTGTCCCCAAACAGCAAAGCTTGATGAGAATGTTGCTGGATCTGAGGGGGCTCAAGTAAGGATTGGAGGGGCTGCACATAGAAGGTTTTTTACCTTCATGCATAGAATACATAAGGTAAAAAAAAAAAAAAAAAAAAAAAAAAACACTTTACATATTAAAGTATAACTAAAATTTCTTTTTTTTTTAGTTTTGGATAGAGTGGAGATGGATTATAACACCCATAAGGTTTTTACTGCTGTTTGTGCCCCTGTTAGGACAAATAGAGAGGGCGATTTTACCTGTTTACAGTTATCATCGAAAGCAAAATAAAAGCCCACATTTTGGGTTGTCCCCAGAAATGTAACAGAGGGGAAATCTTCCAATGGGGACACCAATTCTGGGGACCTGGGGGTCCCCAAGGAATTCCCTTAATTTGCAGGAATTTTCTCTCACTTTGTGTTTTGGCTATGGGACAAGGCATGAAGGGAAATCTCACCAATGGGACACAGATGGCAAACAAACGGGGGTTATAACCCTCCCCCTTTTCTTTTCCCCATTTTGAAAAAAGTAAGAAGTTTTGCCTATAGTTCCAAATTATTGTTTAATGCCACAAACACCACCAAATCTTGTTAGGGACTTATTAAAAACATTAAAATATATTTACCTATAGCTGCCAAGTGATTAGTCTCCTCCAATCTTTTGCACAGCAATACTAAATTGGGAGAGGGAGGGTCAGAAATGGCATTCTATCAGGCTCTTCTGCACTGCACAATACTGTTCATCTGACACTAATAGGAGGAAACAGAGAGAGTACCTGCCCCTTTACTGTTCAATCACAAGCTGGGTGAGTCTTAGTCCTCATGCACACTGGATGTTTTTACAGCTGCTGTTTTTGGCTTCTGAGGGTTTTTTTCTACAGCCAGTAAACCCCCCAGCATGTTATCCTATGTGTCCATGCACACAGACTGTGATCAGCATTTTTTGGCTGGAAAACACCCCCAGAACTAGTGGGTTTCTAGAGGAGTTTTTTTTAGCTGTAAAAACGCTGAAAAATGCAGTGTTTTTGGATGGATATTTTTGAGCGAAACAAAAAATTTTTTTGGTAAAAAAAAAAAAAAAAAATACTGAAAAAAACGCG